TCAAAGCCACACTATTTCCTCAGAGTGTCTTATAGTACTTCAGTAGAAGATAATGACACATTTGAAAAAACTTCAATGTTTGAACAGCTTTTAGGAAGCTACATTCGTTCTGCTTAGAGGTCCTCGCTACAGTAGCTTCGCTATTATTTGAATATGACCCTCGCATATTCATCACAAATACTGGGTCATTACAGAGTTCAGTGTACGTTAAAATTAAAGCAGGTTGCCTGAGGTTAGGTTAATGAGAAGCCAAGCTGCAAATCTGGCAGCTCGGGCCACGGTTTTCGTAATGATTCTCCACTTGATTTTATGACCCTGTCCTTTGCGTCCGTAAGCACCGCTCTCAGAACAAAGGGTGGTCGGGTCAGGGGCGCAGGCTGCAGAAAGAGGAGGTTGTTTCTGTGGTCTGTTAACAGGTTACTTGGTTTCAACACGATACCCGCCTTTCTCCATGTCTCAGGCGAACCTACGAACTAATGTCACAAAAATGTCTGGGTGTCTCACAGGAGCCACAGTAGTAGCTTCCTCAGCGCCAAGACTCAGGAATCTCGCTTGCAAAGACCAGCACCATTGGACCCACCGACTCCAGCTTCACTACACGTTCAGCACCGGGAAAGGTTGTGGAGGCGACGCTACGGGCAACGCCTCTGTTTCCAGCCAATGAGGAGCGGAGGCCGCATCGGGTCCTCCGCTGATTGAACTGAGATGTCTCCGCCCCGCAGAGACTGCAACCCTCCAGGCCAGCAAGTAGTCTCAGCCCCAAAGCCTAGGTGTCCGGCTTTTGTGCGTTCGCTGTCGGTCCACTGGAGCGCCTGATCTCCCTTTTCTCCTGTTTTTTCTCTCTCCAGTCCTGACTCCTCAGTTTCCGAATTTCCTCTTCCTCGCTTCTTTTCTCTTTTCTTCATTCACAGCTCAACATGCAGAAAAAAGACGACTTTCCACATGATTTCCTGCCAGGCTTGCAACATTTCGCCACTCAGGCCATCCATGTGGGCCAGGAACCGGAGCAATGGCGCTCTCAGGCTCTAGTGCCCCCTATCTCACTGTCCACCACGTTCAAGCAGGGAGCACCCGGTCAGCACTCGGTGAGCAGGATCTGGGACGGTCCAGGGTGGGGTGGGAAAAGAGAGATGGCTTATAAATTAAATAGGCACGCAAGTAATTTATGATATGGTTTACACGTTAGAAAGGCACCTTGAAAGGATATTTCCTATACCTGTTATCCTCCTTGCAGAAAAGTTCTATGTTGGATGACCCAGTGATGACGTCTTTTGATAAGCCAAACTGGAAGGAAGTTTGTACAAATTGTCAAAGAGATTTGATTGAAATTCGTGTAACTTTGGCAAATTTGCAGTTGAAAACTGAGGGACACAGTGTTCTAGGATTATCCTTTAAAAAAAACAAACCAAACTCACTGCCATCGAGTGGATTCCGACTCACAGCGACCCCCTTTGGGCTGAGGCAGTAAATCTTTGCTGAAGTAGATTGCCCCATCTTCCTTCCGTGGAGCGCCTGATGGGTTTGAACTGCCAGCCTTCTGATTAGCAGTCAAATACCTTAGGCACCACACCACCAGAGCACCTATAGAATTATCCTTTAGCAGCAAAAATTATAAAGGTGTAGTAAAGAGTCAGATAAAAAAAATCTCAGGGTCTGATAACTCACCTGTAATTAAGATTGTTCCCAGTAGCTGTATTCAGCTATTAAATTTATTAAACAGTTTGAGCCTCCAGCCTTCTGGTTAGCAGTCAGAGCTCTTCCCATGTTATGTGCTAGATACATATATGTGTTACATCCTCTGTACTACACGTATTACCTCTTTTAATCCTAACAGCCACTCTAGTCAGAACTCCACTCATTTTTCCAATGAAAAAGCTGAGTATAAAGTTAAGTAACCTAGCCTAAGGCCACAATGGCTGGTAAGTGATGAAGCTGAAATTCAAAACCTGCTCCCCAATCACCAATACTTAGACACTAAGCCACCCTCTGCTAACTCAGATGATGTTTGCAATAATGTATTAAATTACATCATTTAAGCAATATGGCTTAGTGATTGTATATAAGTCATGTAGGTAGAGGACCTAGGTGTGAATTCTGATACCACCCCTTTTGAGCTGAAAAAAAAAAACCTCACTGTCATGGAGTCAATTGTGACTCACAGTGACCCCTCCCCCTTGGGTTTCCGAGGCAGTATCTCTACAGAAATAGATTGTCCATTCTTGCTTCCAAGGAGTAGCTGGTGAGTTTGAACCACCAGCCTCCTGGTTAGCAGTCAAATGCCTTAGCCACTATGCCACCAGAGCTCCCCTTCTGATAAATAAGCAAGTTGCCTAACCTGTCAAAGCCTCAGTTTGATCCTGTGGAAATGGGAGTAGTAATAGTGCCTATAGGAGCTCTGGTAGCATAGTGCCTAAGGCACTTGACTGCTAACCAGAAGGCTGGTGGTTCAAACCCACCAGCCACTCCTTGGAAGGAAGATGGGGC